ATTCCTTGACTGAATCATGAAACCATTCTTTTTTGCACCTTGCATAGTCCATTAATGAAACTACCAAAATACTTAATTGCTTCAGGAGCAGACTTGACAGCAGGGATTGGAGGACTTATTTCAGCTTGAACAGCGCTCCATGATTTTTGTGCATAAAACAATTTGTAGTTTTAACTGTAGCACTGACATTGGTGGTGGCTGGAGAGGAATCTGTGGCATGCAACACCTTCCACCAGCTACTTGCCATCGTGGACAAACAGTCTGGCCACAGTTATGTATATGCTTTGGTAACCTCTAGATTAGACTGCTCAATGGCTGCCTTTGAAGGCTTCTCAGAATTGGTTCAAAATGTTGTTGCTAGGTTACTAGCTGGGAGCCACTATTTAAATAGCTGTGATGGCTGCCATTCCACTTTTTGGATTCAGAGCACCCACTGCTGCCACCTTCCCTAACCCAAGCTATATCTCTGGGCTTTAGGGAGGGGGAAAAGGTAAGGCAGCAATTCACAGGATCCTCCTTCTGATGAGAGTTATGCTTACCTTGAGCCTGCTCATGGGATTCAAAGCAGACACCTCACAACTCTTCTAGATGTGAGCACTCTTATGCCTCTCTCCTTTTTATGCTTTTTCATTGCTGAGAGAAGTGCAACTGAGCTATAGACACACTCTGGCAGCAGTTGCCAAGGCGGTGCCTTCTACGTAGATATACCATATTTTCCTGTGGATAAGACGCCCCCATGTATAAGACGCCCCCTATTTTGGGGGACTCTAAATAGAGCCAATCGCACATTGGCAAAGCCACCAATCGTCTGCATGCTTGCTGAAAGCAAGCACCAATCGCCCGCCCAATTGCCGCAGCAGCCAATAGCCAGCGGACCTTGCAGCATCCACCAATCACCAGCAAAAACGCCACAAACAATATACGGCTCGCGGCAGCCACCAATCACCCATCCACTGTCTGTGTATAAGACAACCCCAAGTTTTTACCATAATATTTTAATAAAATAACCTAGTCTTATACACAGAAAAATACAGTACTTGAGCTGCAAGTCCCATCATCCCTGACTACGCACTAGCCAACAAGCTCACTGACTTATCACTATAATCAACTCTGCATCTGGATTGAGTCTGAAAATATTCACCTTCATCCACTCCACCGCTGGTGGCTGGCATGGATTTTGAGACCTCAGGGCCCCATCTGGAAAAGAAGAAACAGAACTGAGTTTCGCCGGCTTGCTGACAGAGTATAAAAGTGAAAAGCCTTGGCATTCTGAAGTACACCACAGAACAATAATATATTATTATTTTCCTTGTCTATCATTTCAAGCCACATAGGTATACCCAAGAGGCAAGAAGATTAATGCTTTCATCTTCTTATTTAGTAGACTGGACTGGCTCTATTATAATCATGTTAGTAGTAATCATGTTAGTAGGAAGACAGAGTATGGATTCCATGGGTGGCTCCCACTCAATATATGATTATCTCAAAAGCAAGTTAACATTTGAAAGTGACTTGTAGCCTCTTCCCCAAACAAAAATTACCGTACCGCCGCTTCTGAGGTAATGCAGAAAACATTATTCACCTGGGGTTATTTCAAAGCAAAACACAGAGAAAATATAATTTTAGTAAGCTGGCACTGACCCAGAGGTTAAACCAAAACAAGCCGCAAACATTCAGAGACAGAAGCAGAAATCAAAGTATGATTGTAATTAAAATGGAGGTTTTTATGTAGCCTTCATTCGAATGTGCTTTATGAATACCTTTTTTCTGAACAACTGCAGACCCAATTTAAAGATGGAAAGAAGAAATTGCATCCTTTGAGGTGCTGCAAGCAGAATGAAATGGTTTTGCAAACACCGGTATTAAGACACTTGTGTAAGTCTCAGAAATGAGCCCAGCTGAACAAAAGCAGACATTTAATGTACTTTATTCTTGTTTAATTCATAGAATCATAGAATTGTAGAGCTGGAATGGGCCCCAAGGGCCATCTAGTCCAACCCCCTGCAATGCAGGAATCACAACTAGATCATGCACGACAGGTGACCATCCACTCTCTGCTTAAAAACCTCCAGATTTAAATATAAATACAAACAGGATATAAATTGCATCATTAAGACTGCAATCTGATACCTACTTGCCAAAGAGTAAGCCCCACTGAATTCAATGGGCCACACTTCTGGTGGAGTGGTGTTGTATAGAATTGTGCTGCAAGGCTGCAATCATATACAGTCATACCTTGGGTTACAGACGCTTCAGGTTGCGTTTTTTCAGGTTACGGACCGCTGAAACCCAGAAGAAGCGGGAATGGGTTACTTCTGGGTTTTGGCAATCACGCATGCACAGCAGCACCGAATCGCAACCAGCACGTGCGCAGACGCGGGTTGCGAACACTGCAGGTTGCGAACGTGCATCCCACACGAATCACATTCACAACCTGAGTGTCCACTGCATACACTTACCTGGCAGTGAGTCCCAATTAAAATACTACTTATTTCTGAGCAGATATACATAGGATTGCACTGTAAATAATCTGTTGGCTATAGATGAAGAGCGTTTAACATAGAGACACTGTGGCAAAATATGCTAATCTTCTGAAATTATTTGCATATAATGTGATTTGTATAAGCAATTATTATGTCTTCTGGTTCGTTTAATTAAATGAAACTGTTTCCACCATGAAATATCCTCAAACGTCTGCATGTACTGAGATACTACAGCATCTATCATAACTGATTAATCCATCCATTTAAACAGCGAATCTCTATAATCTGTTGGTAGCCCTACTATGCTGGCTCTTAAACTAACTCTTTAGTCTGGAGTTTTGATCCCATGTATAGTTAACAGAACCAATTCGCCTACTAGCAATTTGAATCTTATGGTAGATATGGGTAGCCACTCAGCCTAAAGTACAGTGCCACACTGGAAAGGCAATGCCCAGATTTTCCCACTGTGCCGATTTCACAAAACATAAACCAAAGCTTTTATTTTTGATGATCCTCACAGCTTTCTTTTCTGTCTCCAAATTCTAGTAACACAATGAGTCACAGTAAGCTTAAATGAACAACTACAATGGAGCCAACTACCCTCTGTGTCTGATTTTAAATGACTGTTTTGTTGGAAATTTAATGAAGCTTATATTTGGGAAACTGAACCTGTGCTCTGAAATGAATGCGAAGACCTTCAGCCTGGAGTTAATAGGGGAAAAGATGATTGCTTCTCCAAGAAACAATGCAGCTGTCAAAATTGCTATTAATGTGTACATACTTTTAAAACTCTCTTCAAACACAGAGATTCATATGAAGAGTGTGGGCAGATGTGGAACAGGAAGAAGAATGGGACTTGTTAGTCAGTGTGAACATATTCCTTTCAATTAATCATAGCAACCCTTCAAAGCTCTTAAGGGAAATCATTAGAGTTGCACTTTCATATTCCTTCCTGCAAAAATATTTTTTTTTTAAAAAACCTATACTACAATATGTCTTTAGAAAGTAACCATGTACTGGTTACCAAAAAGTTTTGTCTGATGTGTTCCAAAAGAATAGCTCTTTTGAAATATTTAGCAGGTTATGTTGAAGTTAATTAAACCTGTTTAATGCAGGCCAGAGTCTCAAGGCACATGGAGCCACATTCTCGCTGAAGCTAAGCAAGTCTGGGTCTGATCAGTATCTGGATGGATGAGTGACTAGAAACCACATGCATACTTCATTGGGTTCCATGCTACTTAAGCTGACAAATGTGCACAGAGACAAAAGCAATGCCACTGGTGGTTTCCAAAGCGCAAGGTTGAAAACGTGGGTCATCCTTAGGTTAGATCAGTACCATGCTGCAGTTACAAAATACTGCTGAAGACTATTGAGTGCTGCTGCTTTATCGAGGATTATTCTCCACTGGAATAATCTTAGGTAGACAATGCACATTAGCCTTCCCAAGACTAAATCTGTGCTGTACAGAAAAGCAAATGTGTGCAACAAAAAAATCCTTTTGCATGCCTCCAGACTATCACTACTATGGAGGAGGGATTCTTCATCCCAGAAAATTAGTTTGTACAGTTAAAGTGGATTTGAGCACTCTGTTATCCTGTGATGGCCTTCATTGATTCCCCCCGTCAGGCACACCGGACTCTGAACTTTTATTTAAATACTTTTAAATAAGTCTCCAGCCCTCCTAGAAAGAAAATAATGAAGTAAAGTAAGCAATTTCTGTGAAATGAGCCAGTATGGCTGCTCCTGCCTGTCAGGTTTTTAGCCAATAAGTGAAGTCAGAGCAGTGATTGATAAGTGAGTTGTTTGGACACCAGATATTAGGAATATTTAGAGTCCTAAAGAGCTGCTATTTTCCCCTCCACTTTCATGCACTTTTCCTGCTTCTGACTTATTTCCAGTTCTTTGAATCTCCTTAATTTGCCTTTGCAACTTTACTATGGTGGGTTCATCTTAGATCAGGTAGTCCTTAGAAGTTATTTTCTGCAGATACTACTACACAATAAGTGTGGAAGGATGTCAAACAATCCCCACCCTCCCTCCCAAAAGCCAAATGTGAAAACGCTGTGAAGAGGCTTGGACATGTCTCCTGCTATGCAGGAGCTAAAGACCAGACAGCTATTAACAATTCACTGTATAGTTTACTTTAAGTACAATGGTATATATTTATTATTAGAAGAAAGTCTCTTTGTGTAAGCCCAGTATTTGGTTTAAGTTTAAGAGAAAACTTGGAGTTTGTGTCTATAACAACTGCATGGCAGGCAGAAATTAAAGTACTGCATGAAAATATAGTTATAGACAAAACTTCACCACAATTACACTGTCTAATTTTGTGTTATGCCATGCCCCCATGGCAGCCACTTTGTGATTTACATCCATGACAAGTATGACTCCAGCTATTTTTATTTATTACAGATCATTATTGTAAAACTGAGTTTGTATTATATCACAGAATCATAGAGTTGGAAGGGACCCTGAGGATCATCTAGTCCAACCCCCTGCAAGGCAGGAATCTGCAGTTGTCCCATACGGGGATCAAACCTGCAACCTTGGCATTACCAGCACCACACTCTAACCAAGTGGGCTGATATGCAGGCTGATATTTGTTTTATTATTTATTTGGGGGCAGGGGGTTTTATATGATACAGTGTACTGCTTAGATGTTCCATATTAAGGAGTACAGAGATATGTTAAATCAATAAAAGTAAGTAGATCATATTCTAGAACCTTCTGCAATGCAGGGAAGTTACATGGTAGATGAGATAATGAGGAAAAGGTTCCCCATAGGCAGAAAATTTTAAAATCACTGCTCTGCATGATGCCCCAAATATGTCTTCGTCTTTTAAACTGAACATGGGAAATAAAGCATTGACAGCGAGTTTGGCGCTTCCAAAAAAGGAAAACCTGATGCTTTTCATGTCTATTTATTGTATAAGCTTTCTGTCGCTCTGCTTCCAGTTAGCATTCCGTGTATATTTACAGAATAAAAGAGGAGGAGGCTGACTGACAAAACAATTCTATAGAGTCCAGTTAACATATGCCCTGAGTTGAATAAGGCTACCAAACTGGAAGAAGTTTCATAACTGTGTCTCATGATTTGAGCATATTTTTTCCTTCTGTAATGGTATGTCTACTCTGATTAATGTTATATATGTGTGTGTATTTACCAAAGTATAGCTTAAACTTTTTTGGTATATGAGCTCTGTCCTAACTTCTGCCAACCTAGCAGTTCGAAAGCACGCCAGTGCAAGTAGATAAATAGGTACCACTGCAGTGGGAAGGCAAACGGCATTTCCGTGTGTTCTGGCACTCGTCGCGGTGTTCTGTTGTACCAGAAGCAGTTTAGTCATGCTTGCCACATGACCCGGAAATCTGTGGACAAATCCCAGCTCCCTCAGCCTAAAGCTAGATGAGCGCCATAGTCACCTTTGACTGGACTTAACCATCCAAGGATCCTTTACCTTTTACTATCAGGAAAATCTCTGCTGGACAGCACAATAAAGATGCAGTGGAGGCAGCAAAGTAGACCTTCCTTGCTAGGTAGGCTTGATGATGAGGCCTCACTGGTGTTTGATTGAATTCAGGTGGAGTTTTCCTCCACTGGCATTCAAGCTTGCTTCTTCGCCCTAAGCTCTGAAGTATACTAGGGAGCCAAACAGGCTCTACAAAGTGGGAGATGGCACTCAGGAGCAATCATGTCAATGGCCCAAGCCATTTGGCTGTTCCAGAAGTCAGCCAGGGCTTTGACAGGAGCACCAGTATTATCAGCTGGAAAATTCCCCAGAGCTGTCTGGAAACCCACTGGATACATCAGCCTCTGAGGGCAGACTATCCTAATAGGTCTTCCACCTCCACAGAGTAGAAAATATGCTGAAAGCCTAAATCTCAACAGGAAGTGATCTGATAGTGACAAGGGACTGGTGTTTATATCCCCCACTTTCTATAGTACTAGCAGTGCAACTTTGAGCTTGCAGCAAGAAATTATGCTTACATAATGCAAATATGGAGACATATATGGGGATGGGGGAAAGTATATTCCCAACCTTTCACTTAAAATAGAGGAAATAAACAGAATCATGTCAATAAAAAGAATTTCAACCATTTCCCAGGAGGAAGTAAGGCAGTCAAAAAGAGATAGTGACAAAAAATGGCATCCATACATTTTTGAAATGAAAGGAACTGAAACCATTTAATCCACAAAGTGTGGTAGTTCAGAATATCCATAAAGCTTTCTTTATAACGTACTCAAGTTTCTCCTCCTTGAAATGTAGAACTGAAAATGTTTATAGCATTATATTGACCCTTCTATTCTCCTAACAATGCAGACAATAAACTATAGTTAGGTTAGACTGTATGCAGACCTCAGTTTTCTGGAGTCCTGAACAGGAAACAGTGAAAAGGTACAAAGTAATGTTGCCAAAGAGATACCAACTAGAAGCGTTGTGTGTTGCAGTCACTGATGTGGACCATGTGCCTGCATGGTGATACCTTGTGGGTCTTGGATGCACCAATTTAGGACACCCAACACCTGCCTTAGAAGCTGGGAATTGAAAACCATGAGAAGAACCAGTTGCACACAATATATGCCTAGCTTCCTGGAAACCTCAAGCAGGAAATATTGTGCTGTTTGTGAGAAGGAGATACTTTGTATGCATGTGAATCACTTGGCTAACCAGTTAGAACCAAAAGAACTACAGTTCAGTAGAAGGTGGCTATGGGGAGATCCACCCTCCCACTATGGATTTGAAGGGTCTTCAGAGCCCCGGGGGTTCTTGTGCCTTCAGAAAACACCCAGTGAGCTCTTCACTCAGATGAATTTATAACCTTCTCATCCTCAGAGCCTGTCAGCAACTGGGAACTTCTGTACCCTGGGGTCACCCAGGACCCACCTGGGCTCAGCTGCAACTGGCTACACCAGCCATTCCAGTTACCTGCTCCTGAGGAGCCTGGTTCTTCTGTGCCTTGAGGCATGCACTCTATTGGCACGTAGCTACCTCTGTCTGCACCTCCTGACACTGGCATTCCCCTCTCTAATTTTGCAGGTGAGACAACTGCTGCAGGTAAGTCAGCAACCCTGTCCACAAGTCCCTTCTAGTCCTCTGCTGCAGATGGGCAAATCATAGCTTCTCCTGCTCTGCTGGAGATATCTAAGGTAACACTGAGTCAGGAGGCCCCCTTGGGCCTTCAAACTTTGGGGTCTTCATCTCATCTGATGGAAGCATGACACCAAGTGGATTCTGGCCCATTCTGAGAAGCTTATGCCTACATACATTCATGAGCCTTCAAGGTGTCATAAGACTCAAATCATTCCTTCAAGCATATGGATCTCACTGGTGTGTTTGCACATGAGTTTACCTCAGGACTGCTAATTCCCCACAGCTTAATAGTCTGATCTGTCTGGCATTTGAGAAAGGCCCTTCACAGCCTGCTGATCAACACCTATTGTCCACTTCTGTATGTAAGTCGCCCTACTAACTTATGGAAGCTTCCATTGTGAAAAGGGATATTGAAATAGCATGCTAAACAGTCACTGGAGATAGATTGCTCAAAGCATTGTATACGTATGAATAGGCATCTCTGCTTGTAGGATGGGATATTTGCGGGGGAGGGAATTAGACCTACTGATGACATTTTAAGATGAATAACAAAAAGAATAAGGAGGTGTGAAGAACAATAAGAGATGGGATAATTGGTGTAATTTTGTCCACAGCCAACCAAGCAGATTGTTCTGCCAGTCACTTAAGAAGCGCAGCAATCAGCTTAGATGCTGCCATGATTACAGGCAATGGAAAAGCCATTTATTTGAATGGAGTATTTTAAATACATACATACATACATACATACATACATACATACTGTTATCTGAATAATTAAACTTATTCTGTAGTTAAGATACACACTGTGGATGCTATGGCTAAAGAGCAATTTCACTTTAATGTATCATTATCATTCCATTTCTTTTTATTTCTCATTGTAAGCTGTCCTGGCTTTATTATAGGGCAATCTATAACCACAGAAAGTAAATGATTGATTGATTGAATAAATAAATAAACACAGGAAGAATAATTTAATGATAAATTTCTATGGATTGATTGATTGATTGATTGATTGCATTGCATTTATATACCACCTCCCCCAAGGAGCTTGAAGTAATGTAGATGGTTCTCCCACCCCATTTTATCCTCACAACAACCTGTGAGGTAACTTAGGCTGGGAGACAGTGATTGGTCCAAGGTCACCCAGTGAGCTTCATGGCTGAGTGGGGATTTGAACTCTGGTCTCTCAGGTCATAGTGCAACACACTAACCATTACACAACACTGGTTCTCTTACACCATACTGCAGTGGTTTATGAAGTTACTATATGACTGGGACAAAATAAGAAGCAACGAGGAAGAAAATATTTCCAAGTTTTCAAGACCTCCATATTGAGAAGCTGAAGTAAGCTTCCTTGCAAAATGCAATAGTGATGGAGTGGATGAAGCCTTGAACAAGGACAGGGAGCTAGAAATGTCTGGTTGAAACTTAACTTACTGGAGGACAAGATTTGTTGGAAATGTCTTGTTGAAAGTTGCATTACAGATAACTTTCAGTTGTCAGTTAATGAGTAGTGGGTATGGAGTTGAAGGAACAGCTGGAACGCTGCCTGTTAATTGGACTTGTGACAGCACTGTCACAGTGACCGATGAGACAGGTAAATAGTCTGGCTGTTGAATGACTATTTTTGAAATCTGAACAAGTCTTTTATTGCAGCTTGACACCACTGCTAAACCTGATCTCCAAAAGCGCTTTTCCAATTATCCCTTGACAATGTCAACTAGATGGAAATGGTTGAGCAAAACTTCTGGAGAGAAGGTTGGGAAGACTTGCAGCACAAACCTATGGGCATTAATTGGAAATAATTTCAACTTTGTTTAGTGGGGCTTACTTCTCTCTGTGTGTGTCCATAGATGTGTTAAATCTGTAAAAATTTGGAATATATTCCTGCTCTGGATTCCTAGGCAATGCACATTAATTTTAACACCACTCTTGAGATATGCAGTTATGGAGTGGACGTACGTCAAAAGCTTTTGAAACCATTGTTTTATGTGAAGAAGGGGAGCTTTCACAGACTCAAATATTATAAGAAAACTTCTTTAAAAGAATCATACTGCTGGCCTAAATTCATTTTGGCCCAATAGAATCAAAAAGGCTGTTTGCTACAAATAAAACTCTCACACCATCTGCTCTTTGTAGTTATATATTTCTAATCTGTACTTGGTCCAATCCATAAAGCCACATTCATATGTTTAAAAGAAGCCTTTTCTCTAAGATAGTCACAAACAATTTTCAGTTTTGAAAACAATGTCACTAAAATAATCTCTCCCATGTTTTAGAACGAAACATTTAACTGTAATCATCTTTTTTTTTTTTTGAGGTTCTATATACTTTACACTGATCACCAATTAATTCCCTTTAGTAACAGCTGCAAACTGCTCTGCAATGATAGCAAATATATTTATATCCCTAGTTTGAGATCAATTGAATTTTAATTCTCATGAGCCCCCCAGATGTCACCATAATATCATTTCCATTGGCTTTTTAGACATTGTTTTTAG